ACAGACGGACCCTTGTGCACACAACGTTCCGCAACTTCGCGAATGCAAAGCTGTGAAAGGCGGCTTGCACTCGTCTTCAAAATAACAGCCAGCCCATGTCTGACCCGATGATCAAGACTATCATTCATTAAATCCTTTATGCAGCGAGGAAACCAGTTATGGAGAACCATTGCACATGCAATGGCTTGGAGGACAGGGCGCTGTTGCGTGCGGAAGGTCAGGATAGAAACAGGCGCTGGGCCTTTCCCCATGATCATTCGATGTAGAGAATACTGGCCACCAATATATGCTGCGTGTCTAACTCCCTGTATGAGAGGAGCAGCCACAGCAGCCGTTCCTAAGGGTATTCGCCACATCTCATCCCACCATGCTTTCAATGGGTCTTCAGGTAGCCCAAGATCGGCTCCTAGTAAGGCACTATGAGGCAACCGAACATTATTGAAACTTGTAATAGAAAAATCGAGCGGAGATGACCCTGTGCGAGGTGGGAGTCTTGTGGAGGTAATTCCACTGCACATCTGTCGGGTATCGCATATGGGCACGATAAAGGGCCGAACACCTCGATCAGAGCCAGAAACGATCAATCGCGCCATCACAACCGCCACCTTTCGAACACCATACAACGGGGTTGTCGCGGGCATCCATCTATGAGATTGTGGTTAATGAATCTGTTCACGTGATACCAAAATAGAGTCGTATTACTTCGCTGCCTCCTCTCGAGGAGTATTGAGAATGAAATGATGTTCAGTAAGTGTAGCAGTTGTTTCAATATTGAAAGCGTCTAGTCCGTGACCTCGCTCGCTCAGTAAATAAACGCCGACAATATCAAGTCGTAGGAGTTTTTCGATAAGAGACTTCAAATCATCCCTAGACTCTGCAAACTTTGCAATAGTACCGATCGTGAGTCCAACGTGAGCCGCCAAGATGGTGTAACATGCGATGTCTGTTGCCATGATGGGATCGGCTTGCAGAGCCCAAAATTTAGGAGAACAATGCAAAACGTCCGAAGCTGTAAGATCTAAAATATATTGTCACATTGACATCAGCTAACTCTGCATATGCAACAAGGGGTAAGGGCACTAGCCATGCGTATTTAACAGTAGCTTAGCTCGTTTGTACGCAAGGACGACACGTTGGTCCCAGCTAAGGAGCTCAACGTTCATTTTGAACAGGGGATGATCACACAAGATACCAGCCATAGGTGATCTTGGCTGAAGGACGCGGATATGTTGACATACATTGTTTTTTTTTGAATCGTGGCCTTAAATTGTGTGATTCGTGGCACAACATGGTGTGAATCAGCAAGATGTAAATTCGCACCGGAGATTGATGTGACATCGTGGCAGCAGTAAGAACCAGGTCAGATTTTGATGCGGAACATGTCAGCCAAGAAATGTGAGTTTGAGTTCTACGTTCGCAGATGCAGTGGCCATGGATAGATCTGTCGATATGGAGTCCACCGTGCCATTGTCCTCAATCAGGGCACACATTCATAGAAGATAGCTTACCTCCAGAAGCACTAGAGTGATAAACGTGTAAACGACATCGTAGGACATCATCGCATCATGATGGAAACACATGATCATGATACCCGGTTTATCACTGATAGTTATTTCAAGTCCACCCTCTGGATGCCAGATGCGCGGGATTTGACGTATAATATTTGATAGCTAGAGCGCCCATTACAGAGGTTAACCGCTCGATATTTAGGCTTTTGTTGAAGCAGCCTGATTTCCAAAGAGACCTTGCTAGTGAATGAGTAAAAAAATTGGGAGGGTGATACCTGCAAGCTGTTTCAGTCAAAACTGTATTTGGGATAAAAAGGATGTGTGACAACGAAATTCGGCTCCAATCGAGACCAAAAAAGCAAAAAAATTATCCCAGCGGCGGTTTCCTTCGCGAACAAACTTAGGAGCCCTGACCAGCGCGTCTTTTCTTCATGCAGATACCATGGCCATCACCAGGCGTTCCGCTCAAACGACCCAGAATCAACATAGTCTTGGTAACGGTGACAAGCAATCAATGCTGGAACTCTTACAGTAAAATGGGCGCTCCTTGGTCAATGACAGGCTTTTCATATTCTCAGGCATGACTGGTTCCCACTAAGTTATCTGCATTCCTTAACCGTGACTTAGGTTAAAGAGGGTCATATTTAAATCTCGCCTTGGCCGACTCCATCACCCCACACACACCCATCACTCCACACCTACACTGTAATCACGTCATGATATGGTCCTCTAGCGGTGACTGTTGGAAGTTTGATTTTTGTTTATCGTTGTTTCAATCGAGGAAGTGACAATAACTTGATAAAACATATGCTCAGTGCAGATAACCCCCTCCCAGTCATTCGGCAATATGATGACCTACTCGAATGGTACTTACTTCAGGTCGAATTGATATAACCATACCATCAAGACAAGTATAGATCTCGCACATGTGCGTTGATCCTGAACGGATACGGTTGCGAGGCCAGATTTCAATATGTCTTTAGACATACGGTAGCCTTGCTTCCATTACTAGCGTTACAAGTACAGACAGCCCTTTCCTGTCAAACTCTCCACTACGTTATTCGTAGTCCTTCTCCTTCTCCTCCAACGTAATATACAGATGCTTACTCGTCAACACCGCCCTCGCTCCAGGGACGATCACAATTGTCTGTGTATCATCAATTATCATCGCAGGACCTCTGATCTCGTCCCCAACCCCTAGTTTATCGAGTAAGTACACGGGCGTATCGCTCACTCTCCCTAGCTTGTCGAAATAAACGCTGTGGCGTGTCTCTGCCTGTGCGGTCTCTACAGAGCGCCTCGTCAGCCGTGCTACTTCCGAATACACCGACTCGCCGAGGGTGTCGAACGTCTTTCCAATTCCCCGGACCTGTCCGATCATTCAAGCAGAATGATTCATGCAAAAGATGATCAGATAACGGTCAAAAAAATGTGGTAATAGCACAGATATGCCCACCTTGATATCGTCTACAATGATGCTCTTCGTCTCTAGCAAAAACCCAAACTCTGATTTATACACCCTTTTAAACGCAGCTTCGAAGTCTTCTTTCCCATCTCCGTCCCCCTCCACGGGTAGCACCATCAGCGCCGTATCCGTACCTTCAAATCGCATATTCAACATCCGCTCAACATTCACACGTTCCCCTTCAAACCCCTGCCTGGCGAGTTCGCTGCGTACATCAGATGTCAGCTTGTCCAGTCGTGAGATGAGCGTTGGGCGAGTTTGGTCCGAGAAGAACGTCGACGAAGGTTCCTGAAGCTCGTATGCCCTAAAAAGGATGAAATAAGTACATGTGGTAAGCCATCTGTGGGGAGGGACTGGAAACTTACCGATCTGCTAGCGCTAGTCCGAACGCAGAAAGGATCGAACTGTATCGATGAATCAAAATAGTCTTAATCCCGAGTAGACTTGCAATTTCACATGCGTGTTGACCACCGGCACCGCCGAAACTGGCTAATCTACATCATCCGTATGTGAATTGGCTAAGTAACGTTCAAAGAGAGCTTGGATAACCACATACATGTGCTTAGACGTCGAATGTCCTCTCGCCTCAGTAAGCGCGCGTATCGGTCTGCACATCGTTTCATTGGCAACTTTGATGAATCTAAAAAGTAAACGCGATATCAGTTACCATATGTGGAAAGGAAACCAATCGAGGCGTAGAAACTTTACCCATAAACAATTTCATCTAGCTCCAGCTTCTTTTCATGACTTTCGTTGATTTCATTGGCAACTTTCTCAAAAGCAACACGTGAAGCCTCCGCATCTAAAGGTTCTTTCTCTGATTTGCCAAAAATCTTTGGGAAAAAATCAGGGATAAGTCGACCGAGAAGCAGGTTTGCATCGGTAACAGCTAAAGGTCCTCCTTTCCTATATTGCGCGCATAGTTGAAAGACGGCACCGATCAGATATTGTATATTTCACCCCGAGCTGATAATAACCAGATACTGACCTATAACAAGCAGGTCCCGGCTGTGCTCCAGCACTCTCTGGGCCAGCTAGGAACAGCCCATTGCGGAAGGTAAGGCAAGAACCGCCACCAGCAGCGACAGTATTGATATCTAGCTGCGGAGATTGTATGGTTACTCCCGCAGTTGTCGTCTCATACACGATCTCATAGCGGCCATCAAATCGTGATACATCAGTCGATGTACCCCCTACATCAAGCCTACAAGAAGAGTTATATTTATTGCTTATTATGGAATGGGAGAATGAAACGCACCCGATGATGGGATATTTTTTCTCTTCATCCCAACTTGTCAAGGCGTACCCAACCACGCCACCAGCAGGCCCACTGAGGATACTCTTCAACCCAGAAAAATTATTCAAGTCCAATAAGCCCCCGTCACTTCCCATGAACTCCACGCGCGGACTCTTCACCCGCCCGTCCTTCAGTTTCGCATCAAATCCATTAAAGAATCCATCCAGATATTCTTGCAGGATGGGCGTCAAGTATGCATCTGCCGTAGATGACACCCCCCGAGGGACCATCTTGATCATTGGAAGCAGCTGAGATGACTCTGATACCTGGGTGAAGCCCAGTTCTCGTGCAAGCTTCCCTATTTGTGTTTCATGATCTGGGAATGTATACGAATGCACGAGTACTATAGCAAGTGAGCGGTATCCGGCGTTGTATAATCGCTGCAAATCGCGTTTAACTTGGTCAAGATCTATTACATGCTGTCAGTACCAGCGCATATAAGTGTGAATGCTTTCTTTACCTGGCCTCTTCAAGATCCTGACCGCTTCTCCTGAAATGCCCTTCACTATATCTCCCGGACCTTCCGCGAGACCCTCACCATCCCACCCAGGCCCTCGATAGCCTCTCTTGATGTCTCCATTATCGTCCCATTCTATAGCATTCTCAGCCGCCTTTGGATCGGATGTGTATCCAACCAAGGTCACACGCTCGTCCACCTCGACTACTTCAGAGTACAGCGGGGAAGGCCGTCTTATATTAAGGTCGAATATCTTTGGACGAGATTGATTACCAATGAGAAGTAGATCTTTGAATCCTTTTGTGATCAGAAGAGCATGCTTGTGCCCCTTGCGTTCTAGAAGTGCGTTTGTTGCAACTGTAGTTGAGAGTCGTATATAGTCTACATGCGCAACAATTTGTGAATGAATTCGTGGATGATATCGTTAGATGAATGAAAGAGTTAGATTTACCTATCTTGTCCGTTTTCAATATAGATCCCCTTTCAATCTTTTCCCCCGACACTACCTCTAATATTCTTCGAATACCTTCCGTGGGTGCATCATTGTAATTCGCAGTATCTTGGGAGACTGTGATGTACCACGGGCGCTACCGATATCAGCATAAAAGTATTATCATACTATACGCCAACGTACGCAGCTTCACGACAATATCCTTCCTCTCATTCGGATTTTCTGGGTCTGGATATGATCTGCAAACAACAAAAACAGGTCAGAAGCACTCTTGATAACATTCAACCGACGATTTACGCATGGACGTCACAAAACGTTCCCCCTCTATCTGCGCAAATTCGAATAGACCTATCCGGGACCTCGATCATGTTCGATCCTATAATACAGTACTAGTTTTGAGTAAAGCAGATGAAAGCGTTCCGAGAGGCAAGAGGAAGTGACACGAATGCTCAGACTGTCAGGCTTGTGGAATTTCAGCTGCGCTAACGCTCGTAAACAGCCGATTGCAAGAATAAAAGGCAGAGGGATAATGCACTGGAACTATCTAATCTCATTCCCAACTTGAAAGTCATGTGTCTGCTCTGCCCATGTCATCAATGCACAACGCCACGGTACCGTGACTCCGCTGTCACCGCGAGGATGTATTCAACTCCGCATTCTACCATCCAGTCACGGTACTTAAGATTTCTGATTTCTCTCAGTTGTTAACTTGACAGCGATCTGCAGGGCGTTGGCACGACCTTAGACCACGATGGCATGTGGTGAATGATTCAACCCCAGCGATGCGTGAGACAGACTCGGTAAGTCAAAAAAAATGTTACCTACATTTCGCATTCATCTTTTCATGCAGATGAGTAGTACATTGTGCATGTAGCCACAACGTGATGGTGGACTTCAATATTATACGACTTTTTCAGCTCTGTTTTTATGCTATGTGAGAGATGGCTTGTCATCGTGGCATCCCTTTCTTTGGCCATGCAATGCTGGATCAAACACAAACACATCAAGAGGCTATCCCAGTATCTCCCAGTCAGTCTCATATCATCTCATCATCATCTTTAGCTATGCATCTAAACCGGTCGCAGCTTGACCATCATATATACATAGAACACAAGATACATCAGAAGAAAGGCCGTATATTTATATACCATTAGTATACTAACGCTCGCTCGCTCTCCCACTCGTCCTTCGTCACTGGAATGAAACCATCGAGATAGTATTGATTTGGCGAACGTTCTATCCTAGATGATACAGTTTCGTTTTCTGGCCGTCTTCGAACTACGTACCATCACAGACCCTACCAGGCAGTTGGAGGCGATGTAATCAGAATCAATAGAAGGAAGACCAGAATCATATCAGAATACAGCACAATGAGTTTTTTTAATGTCCTGTGCATCTACTGACACGTGAATAGATTCGTTCTTCAGTGGCAGGTATAAAAGCCATGCCATGGACACTTTAGTCGTTTCTTACTTCAGACCTCAGTAGCTACGGGAGGCGCCTGTATTATTCGAAATCGTCAGCGCCTGGTATAGTCGTGGCAGGATCGACCTCTTTCGCACTCAGCACACTCACATCTCGCACATTATCCATACCCACAACAACTATGCCAGGCCCCAATAGCCCCCACTCACCACCACCTACTCTGTCGTTCAACGCTATCAGTAGTAATATGACAGCTGTTTGTACACCAATCAACATCTCGTGGGCATATACTGGCCCCCCGGCTAACATCTCGCTGTCGGCGGCGCGCTTGAAGCTTTCTTACTCAGACAAGCATATCATCCCAAATGTTCAGACCAGCATGAATCTGTCTACTGTTAATGCGTCGAGTTTTTCCTTTCTGTGGACTCCGACCCGTGCATTGCCAGGCTCTTATTTCATACAAGGTTCCACCCCGACCTTGAACTCCTCTTCCAATGTATTCCACGTCGATGCATCTTGTCTCGCGAAACATTCCGCTCCAGCAAATATATCCTCACCCTCCATTCACCATCCATCGAACACAAGTGCCATCGTGGGGTATAGCCTCGGTGGTGTAGCTGTCGTGATGATTGCGATAGTTGCAATCTTATATCTACTTCGTTTCCGCCGCCGTTCTTCTAGTCCGTTTGGGCTGGATTCCTCCCGTTCTCGTGATGCATCTCCGTCCGAGTCTTCTGCAACTGAGCAGCCCTCTGCGCTACCGTTATATACTAGCAGGGAGGAGTATCTTTCCAGACATGCCAGCATCGCCAAACTGAGCCCTTTTTGGATCTCTATGGCCCCTTCATATACTAGTCAGAAAGAGCCTCTTGCCCACTCTGCCAGCATCTCTGGGTCAAAACCTTCTGATGTCTCTCCCCCTACATATTCCTCCCCATGATTTGGGGCCTTGTATTCATACGAAGGTTCAAGCCATTCCGTCCCTTTTTCTTGTCTGGTGCCAACTTCTATAATATTACTGCACAAAAATGTGTATATTACTCAATTACACCATCTGCAAAGTCAATGTATCACGTAGGTGTGTCGATTGCTGCGATGGTTGAATACTGCCACATGCCAAACGGAGCTTCCAACGGTCCGTTCGTCGTGTACGCTGTTAATCTCTTCCGCTCTGATATTCCTGTTTGAAGTTTGCTTCTCGCTAGATTTTACCTCATTGGTATGATTGGTCAATGTCAGATGATATGCGCGTCAGTTTACAGCGCTTGCATGAATATATCCTCTCCTAATATGATATCTGGGCAAAACGGACTAGCGCGTCCTCCTTGTAGTTGAACTCGTTGTAAGTTACCCTTGATTCCAGATTATGAAAGATCGCTTTACTGACGAGTAGCAACGCAACGGAAACATTTTAGTGAAGATTATCCGCTTTGCTTCTGCCTCTGCCTCTGCTTAAAGGATGACTTACACTCAGAACGCAGCCAATGGCAATACAAGCTTTGGCACGTACAATGATGTAGCTCGCGATCAGTACATTATCATCACATATGTCCAATCAGGCTCAGGAGACGACGGCGCCCTAGCAAAAGTGATTCCGAAACAGATCCAATCCGCAGTTGATAAGGAAGTCCGAGACAAGTCTTGCCGTCGTGCTATCGACAACATGTATGGCATCCCTTCGTCATTGCTGTTATACAGTACTAATGACTGTTTACATAGCCGCAAGGCGAGTGTCAATGGGGCGATTGCCATTAAGGGTGCCAACGGGAATTATTTGAGAGTTACCAACAGTGGTGGACTTGAATTCAGCAGCCCTGTTGTAGACGACGATGCTGTTTTTGTCGCCCAACTCATAGGAGATAAATTGTCTTTAATTGGTCAGCATATCTGACTACTTTATTGCTCAATTTTAAAGACCGTGATTTTGGGTTTCAAACTATAGGAAACAACGGCAAATACGTAAATATGTATTATCTTGAAGATGTCAAGTGCGAAGGTCCTGGCGCAGGTCTCGTCGTCGGCGCCTCTCAACGTTCTCGTGGCATGGTTAGCTTCACTATCTCAGGATATCAAGGTCAGGATGGAAAGACCTATTACTTATCAAGCGATCCTGGTAATGCGGCATACCATGGATCTCTGGCTGTTAAGAAGGAAGAGGATCAGTCATGCCAATTTGCAATCGAGAATATGTGAAGATTTCCTCTCTGTATCGAAGCTTTGTTTACTGATATCGTGCCCTCAGAGTTAAACCTAACGTATCGGGTACGATCACCATCAGAACTATAGATGGAAGGTATATGAAAGTCACTGGTACCAATGGGCTTGAGTGTAGCAGCCAAGATCTTGACGATAACGCAAAGTTCATAGTTAAGCAGAAAGGAGCAAAAGTGGCCTTGATCGGTGAGCATGATTCATTCAACGTGACATGGCTGGTCTGAGATTATTGAAATTATAGGAAACAACGGAAAGTATGTTAACATGTACTATGTGCACGACGTGAAGTGCGAGGGCCCAAGTGGAGGACTCGACGTTGGAGTTGCCTATCACTCGAATGGCACAGTGTGTTTCACCATCTCAGGATATCAGGGGCAAAATGGGAATACCTATTACCTGTCATGCGACACTGGTAATGCAGCATACAACGGATCCCTTGCTGTCAAACGCGCCGAGGACTCGACATGTCGCTTTGTCATTGATAACGTCGGGGGCTTGTCGGGCCACATTGCCACTAATAACATGCAAGTCAGATGCTTACTCTATCCGCACTGGCTGATAGTTTGCTTCAGACCAAAAATCAGTGGAATAATAGCTATTAAAGATGTTCATGGGCGGTACCTCAAAGTGACCGACAGTAATGGTCTTGTATTCCAAAGCAGAAATCTAGATAATCAAGCCAAATTTCATGTCAAGCTTCAGAATGGCCGCCTCAACCTCATTGGTATTCGAAGATCATTACTCAGTGTAATCAAATTGACTCATCTATTTTTCAAGGGAACAATGGGAAATATGTGAACATGTACGGTATCGACTATGTCCAGTGCAAAGGACCTAGCGGTGGACTCACGATGGGTGTTGTCTACCTCCCCAGTGGCATCGTGAAGTTCACCATATCTGGATATCAAGGCCAGAATGGCAAAACAAGTTTTCTATCTAGCAGCTCTGGAAGAGCTGATGAGTCTCTTGCTGTCGTTGATGAGGGCAACGAGAGCTCCAAGTTTGTGATCGAGAATTGTTAAGGACTTTCATTGGATCTAATTCACTGTACTTAGTACTTGCATGCATTGTAAATAAGGAAAATTCAAAGGATACCAAGTACTTACCGTTTTGAAACTTTTGCTTTGAGCACAAGAATCAGTATCAAGGGAGATGAAGGTCCTAGCTCACTTCCAAATTCTCCCTCGGCTCTCAGGTCTCAGCGCTCAGCACTCAGCCACAATATTTTCATCCCAGCCTGAGACGGTCGCGGTCTAGGTTAACAGTCTATGCTGGTGATTCAATATTCAACCTTCGCCTCGACCGTCATTATTACTATAGAGGACAACCCCGACAAGTCTACCAGCATACAGTATATCCAGTTTCTTTTTGTCCTTTACTCATTGTGCTTGACTGTGGCCATCCTCCGAGTCAATGGCAAACTCATACACTACCCAGGAAGGACCTTAACTGTCGCCCTTTCTTCCACGCCGTGGCACTATATCTATCTGGAACCAAGCTCGTTATGATGCTGCGTTGAACCTTGTTGATGGGATAAACATATCAAGCTACCATGTCAGGCTGTGTGAGTAACCAACCTATGTAGATACTAGTACGCCTGCGTGTTGCATCAATGATCGTTTCTTGACTTCGCCCCTAACACAGACGACCCAGAAAAGAAAAGGCTTGAGGAACTTGAACGCACTTTTATTATTTCAGGTTTCAAAATACAGTGCTGTGTAAACCGTTGGCATATGCGTGCGAGCCATCATGATATCCTTCAATGGCAGATATGATATGTATCCGACATTGATTCAACAGGAACTCTCGACTGAGAAGAGGCCTCCGGTCAACGAAGGTCATCAAAAGAATACGAATATATAATTCTGCACTTTCCCAGACTGTTGCGTCCACCTAACCCACACATCACACCCATCATGAGCTCGACAGCCAGTTCCCCTTCTTCAACATCATCCTTGTCACCAGAGGAGTTGTACATCACCGTTTCGAACATGACGACATGTACATCAGCCAATATCTCATGGGCATACGATGGCCCTCCAGCCAATCTGTCAATAGTGGTGATGCCCCAGAGCACCGTATCGGGCATTTATCTAGCCAATGTCGAGGCATCTGCGTCATTTTGGAACTGGTCTGCTGTAGATGTACCGCAGGACTTGTATAGCATAACAGGTACAAGTGACGTTCCAACGGTTATCATCCAGTCCAATTCATTTCTTGTCTACAACGGCACCGATACTTCATGTGTTCGTCATTCAACGAACTCTGGCTATACAGTTCAAACCGCCTCGAAAACAAACTTTGGTGCTATCGTGGGGGGTAGCATTGGTGGAGTAGCTGTCGTCCTTGTGGTTATTGCTCTTTTACTATTTTTTTGTTCCCGCCGTCGTTCTTCTAGTCGAAATCACCTTCGTGCTTCTTCGCCCTCTACCAATTCGATTATTGCGCATATACGTCCTGTGACGGAGGAGCTTCTACAGAACAGCATGCTAACGGTCGACCCTCCGACCAACCAGCCTTCACCTGAAAGATCCTCGGTGGTACCGCCGTCATATACCACTAGGGAAGAACCTTACCCTCCGCCTATTCAACCTGCGTCTCCGCTGTCCTCGATGGTACCATCGTATATTAGTAGGGTGGAGCCTCTTACCAGCATCGTCCAGTCCGCTTCTCATCAACCACTCGCAAACCCTGTGCCTCGACCACCCTCGATGGTGCCGTCATATACCAGCAGAGAAATTCCCCCCGCCACCCCCGCCAACGCTAATCCCACACAACCCCACCCTTCACAGTCCTCCCTCGTTCAACCCCTATCCCCGTCCTCCACGTTACCACCATATACCGATAGAGAGATACCCCGCGTCAGGCCTGCCAACGTAACCAAGTCCCGTCCTTCCCGTCCTCGTCCTCGCCTCCGCCCTGCGCTCCCACGACACTCCGTAGTACCATCTTACCGCAGTAGAGAAGATCCCCAGACGAACCTCGCCGCCAACATCCCCCACTCAGATCCTCTCGGAGGCGAGGCTGTACAGAATGGCACGTCAACGGACGATTCCCCCTGTCCCGTGCCCGCCCAATCACCGCCATCACGACTCTCGACGGCCGCCCCGTCATATACCAGTAGAGAAGAGCCCCGTGCCAAGAACCCTTCCACTAACCCACTACCAGTCTACACCCCCGTAATCCAACACGCCAGTGCTGGACCCAATCAACCTTCCGGATCTCTTCCCATTGTTCGCGCTTCCAGTCCGCCAAAAGCCTTTAAAGCTGTCTGCAATCAATGAGCGGACGACGAGCCTCCGTTTTAGATGGAGATCGACATTTCCTGGGTGGCGAGGCTGCCCCTTGCGTGATCTACCAGTAAACTGCGTAATACGGGATAATTAGAGGTGGGAGTGAGTGTTGAAAAGTAACTAAATTATACTACAACTGCAGAAATATACATTACTTACATTGTAGCTTAATTCGGTATTGAAATGATCAGTTGAAACGTTCGCAAGACTTTTCCTTCTTGCCTTGCGAGTTACCTTCCTGTCGTCTCAACCCGCAAAATGCAAACTTGGTCACAAACCTCAATGCGAGAAACTAAAGCTCACCAGATCCTCACAAGCATCCGCATCCCATCTCAAGATCTCAAAACACACACCAAAGCTATAGATACTGCATATTTTCATTCTTTCCCCCTCCCAAAAACAAACTACGGACATCCTAAAAACATTTTTTCAAACCGATTCAAAAAAGAATGATAAGAGGGCAGACATGGATGATAAAGATGATAAAAAAGTGATAAACGTGTCAAGTGATAAAAAAACGATAAATGATGGCAGACCATACATACGTAGCAGGGGGGGTCCAAAGGGGTCGAGCCGTATCAACAATCAACTGCCATACTATCTATTAGCTTAAACGCACTGGCATCGTTATTTATCGATTCCATATCACACACACACACACAGGAAAGAAAAAGAGGGGGGATAGCGAGAAATAATGGAAAAAAATAAGACTAGAGGGAGGGGGGGAGGGAAGGCGAGACGTTAGATTATATTAGAAACAAAGAAACAGAATGAAGCACGCACGATTGTGTTCAAAATCTGTTATAACTATAGAGAGAAGAAAAAAGATATATCCGGTTCAAGTTCCCCAACTCGGGCCAGAAAAAGAAAAAAAAAGACGAGGTATATCGTTTGCTTTTTGAATTTCTACAGCCGCATTCGATAGCGACAAGGTATCGACGATCGATGAGGTTGGCGAGACCGAGACCGAGATGGGGGTGGGGATTCGATGGTTTGAGCGGAAGATGTTTGTCAATCGTTTAGAGATCATTCGTTAGATCATTTGGTGGGGGGTGTGCGAGGGGGATATTATGCCATCAGAAATACACAAAACGCAAAGCAAAAAAAGGCGGGCGGCAAAAAAAAGCATATAATATCATACACGTCAGCGGCCAGTCTCGAGGGTCGAGGGTGGGGCGGTCGAGAGCAAAAAACAAGGTATCATGGTATCAATGGCCGCTTTTTCAAACACATCCTATTCCTCCTCCTCTTCCTCCAACACATTATGCAGCGGCGCTCCATGTATGTAACGACCGGGACTCTCGCGGCCCGTTTCTGTCAAGACCGGGAGAGGTGGTGGCGGGTCGACGACGGCAGGTTCTTGCCCGGCCTCTGCTGTTTCCTCGACTTCGGGTGTAGGTTCAGACTCGGGCTGAGGAGGAGGGGGCGGTGGGGACGATCCGTCTTTCGTCACAGGAGGCAGCGGCGGCAACTTATCCTTCGTCTGCATCGACGTCGAACGCACAGGCAAGCGCGAAGGCATCACCCCTCCCTTCTCCTTCTCCCTCTCCTTCTCGCGATACATCTCAATCAACGCCGCCGTCCTACCCTGCGCCCCTCCCTTCCCACCACCACCGCTAGCCTCGCCAGCCCCAAGCGTCGGCGAAACATGCAAAAGACCGGGCAGCGTCATCGACTCCGCCCTCGAATGCCCACTCTCCTTCTCCTCCCTCCCCTCCTCCCCATTCGCAAACTCGGGCATCGGCAGCAAATCCATATCGTGCGTCACCGTCGTAGGCGCATAGTCGCTCACGCTCTCCATCGTGTCTATCGAGCTTCTCACCGGGGCGGACGACGTCGCTTTTGGAGAACGCGTGGATGGGAGGGCGTCAGGCGTGCCGTATCCCGCTTCGTCCCCCTCCTCTCCGTCGTCTCCGTCTTCATTCTGCGGCCTCCCAGGACGTCTCTCCGGGTGCAAATCAAAATAGCCCATCCGGCGCCTCGGATACGACATCACAGAATCCACGTCCGGATCGTCCAACACGTCCAAACTGCCCCCCTCTCCCTCTTCCACCGCAGCCCCGCTATCGAGTCCATCGCCGTTGGCATTGGCACGGCGCGGGCGCGTGCGGGCTGGGACAGGCGGCGCCATATCATCCACAGGCTCCATCGTCTGATCCACCTCGTCCTCATCCGACATCGGCGACCTCGCCCTAATCCCCGCCAACACCTGAGCCACTTCTTGACTGGCTATCTCAGGATCAGACCTGCCCCCCCTCCCGCCGCCGAGTCCCCTCGCCCTCCCGCCTCGCATCTCCACTTCTTGGCCCTTCATCCTTCTATTATGCGTCGCCACCAAGATGTCGACCCAGGCATCGTCCTTCGAAAGCCTCCTCTCCTGCTTCTCCTTCTCCCCCTCCTTACTATTCCCCCCCGCACCGCCCGCGTTTCCACTCCCCCCGCTCCCTCCACTCCACTCATCATCACTATACCCCGCCAAACGCGTCTCAAAATCCACACTCGAATACTCCGCAGGCATCATCTTGGACTGCCTCGCCCCCGTCGGACTAGGCACAGGTAATCGAAACCGAGACTTCTTAGCCAACGTTCCCTCTCCCGCCTCCCCTCCCCCTCCAACACCCCCTAAACACCCCTTCTTCGCCGGCGTCTGCTCTCCTTTGGAGCCTTGCGCAACAGGCGCAGGTCCCGTTCGCGTGCCCACATACAAAGGCGCCGAAATCGCAGGTCGTGGGGTAGGCCTAGGCGTCGCCGGCCTCTCCCCTCCTCCCAACCCCTCCTGTCCGCCCATCCCAACGCCCACGCCCCTCGCCCCAGGCGGCAACGGCGGCTGCGGCTTCGACAACGACAACACCTTCGTCGAACTCCCATTCCCCCTAATAAGCCCCTCAAACTCCACCTCCCGATACGACGGACTGCGCGGGACGTGGCCCACCACGTACGGCCGCCCGTTCAGCGTCGCCGCCGGCTTCCACTGCTTGGATTTCGTCGTGAGGAGCATGGGGTGCGAGAAGAGAAAGTGCAGTTTGCGTTTGCTGGTCGTGCCCGCGACGAGCTGTTGGCGGTACTCGAACGGGACGAATTCTTCAAAGAGGATGAGCGTCGTCGAGGTGCGCGGTTCGGTGCCTGGGGGCGTGACGGGTGGTTTGACGGGGAGGGATTTGAACTCGATCTGAATTACGAAAGACAAAAAAATTCAGTTAAATTCCTCCCAAAACAACACCCAAGCCCCCCCCCCCCAAAAAAAAAAAAAAAAAAAAAAAAACCCCCTACTCCCCAAAGCCCAATTACACTCCCTATCCGCTCCTCCCCCCTCTCCACATGCATCCAGCCCCTCCATACAAAAGATCACAAAACACATCCAAAAACCCCTCCTCGATTACCTCCTCCGTCCCCATTACCGGGTCCGTGTCCCACCCAAACGGGGGGCGCGAAGGGTCCGGCTTTTTCAGCTTTTTCGTGATGGGCACGTTTTGGGCGGGCCAGGAGGAGATGGTGTGCGCGAGCGGGGTGCTGAATTGGAGGGTGTCGTCGAGCGGGGCGTCGCTTCGCGTGAAACCGGTCGCGGAGAAGTCGTTCCAGGTGAGGGTGGCGCGTTTCGCGGCGCGGGCCTGTCCCACAACGATACGAGAGGAGGGGGACGAAGATGACATGAGCAACGTCGCAAAAAGAAAGAAAAAAATAGCCATAGCTACAACGAGAAACGCGCACTCACCGTCCTCGCCCCCTCCGTCAAATCAAACTGCAACTTCTTCTCATCAGCCCCAAGTCCTCCAAACCCCATCAACTCAAACTCTCCCCACCTCAAATCTGTCAGATTCCTAAACCGATCTTCCCCTTCCCTCCCTCCCATCCCCATCCCCACGCCGAGGCCGACTCCGAGGCCCAGCCCAAACACTTCCTTCCTTCCCCCGCCACTCACACACTCTTCGCCAAAGACATACGCCGATGAGCAGGTGCTAGACGCCGTTGAAGGCTCGCTCGACATCCCAGGGCCCGTATCGGGGTGAAACCCAGTTGCCAAATGCATTCGTTTCTTATAGCCCTCTGAATAGCGAGGTGGGAGCTTCATCACCGACGGTGCGATTCGCTCCCACTCTTTTGACCCCGCCAGCCCCCTCTCCGACCCCCTCTCCGTCCCCCTCCCTCCCCTCCCCGTCTCACCGGTACCTGGAGTGGCAGTTGAAGCCGAACCACGCGGCCTCTGCGCCCAACTCGCCGCCGTCTTCACCAGATCGGGAGAATACATCCTCACATTCCTCCTTACACTCACCACTCTCACCGTCCTCGCCCCTCTCCTCGGGCACCGGCCTCTCTCCCTTCCCCCTCTCCCCTTCTCTCCCGCCTGCACAAACGGCAGCATGGCAGGGTAGCCGCGAATCCAGTCTTTCAGGCGCGTCGGCACGCCAAGCGACGTCGCACTGCCATACTTCACATCCGTGCTCACACCCGTCGAGAAGCCCTCCTGCCCCGCACTCGTCGCCAACGATGGCCTCGGCGCGTCCTGCCACCGAATAAACGCCAGCAACAAATGCTCCATCGCGTTCACTGCACGCAGATAGTGCACATACGTATGGTGGAACGCCAGCGTGGCGGGGCCGAGGCCGAACAGGAGCGGGCCGAAGAGGGGGGAGAGGGTGGGTGGGGTGTGTCCCGAGGAGGAGCTGTGTGCTGTGAACCGGATGAGGAGGCTAAAGAGGGTGAGCAGGATTTGGCGGAGGACGGAGGGGAGAGGGGGAAGGAGGGTGGCGAAATGGGCCGAGGGGTATTTTCGTTCTGATGCGAGGAAAGAAAGTCAGCCAGGTTAGAGAGGGACGAGGGTAATTAGAGAATATACCTTCTTCTGTATCTCTAAAGTAAATATAATGATCCCATGCAATGAGCCCTCTGACCGCCTGTCCACCCTCCACCCTCACCACCCTCGCGAGCCCCCACCTCAAACACATCCCCAGCTCATGCGGCCCCGCAAACCTGGCCTCCTCCCTCCACCTCCACTCGACCTCCTTATTCTCAGGAAAGCGACAGGTATCGACAAAGGCCTTGATAAGCCTCTGTATGGCTGCCGAGGAGATGTCGAGGGCGAGGGTGCTGAAGATGAAGGGGGTGGTGAGACAGCGGGGGGGGGGGTCGCTGGCGACGACGTCGACGAGGCGGGAGAGGTGGTCGAGGCCGAGGACGATGTGGCGCTCGTAGGAGAGGTAGCCGTAGTCGTGTGAGGGGGCGAAGGGGGGCTCTGAGGTGGGCGGGGGAGGGTCGAGGTTGAGGGTGAGGAAGCTGCCGTCTGGGATCTGGGCGAGGACGTCGAGGGGGTCGGGCTCGCCCCTCTCCCTAGGCGAACTGGCGGTCCTCGGCCTGACGAGCTTTGCCCTCTCCCTCTCTGCCTTGTCTTTTTTGGCAGCAGGGGAGAAGGATAGGGCGGCGAGGTTGAGGTTGATGCCACCAGGAGAAGCACCGCCGCCCGCTGAGGCACGGCTGTTAACGCGCCCAAACTCGTCGTAGGGTGGGTTCTGTGCGGTGGGGCGGGGTGGGAGGTCCCGTTCTGCGTGATTGGGTGCAGTGTTGGTCTTCTTGGGGGTGGAGTGGGTGCGTGCGCGGGAGAAGAGACTGGGCATGGCTGGGATGCAGAGTTTTTGGCTGCGTGTGGGGGTGCGGATGCGAGAGCTGGAGAGGAGCTTTGTAGTGGGAGAGGGTGTGTGGCCCGTCGAGGCTAGTGTCGTTGTCGTTGTGCTCAGAGTGGAGGGGAACGGGGAGGACGACGGGGACGATGATGGTGAAATGGTGGTGGGTGTACTGGTTAGAAACGGGAAAGACGGCCTGAAGGACAGGAACGGGATAAGCCGGTGATGCCTCTCAGCCATTTCTGTCTCCACGCTTCCGGTGTCCGTGACAACCAAAAAAAGAGTGTCCAGCACAACAAGTCCTCTTTTCTTATATGCCTGCTCGACACAAACAATACACGTTATTGTTCTAGCTCAAGTGCTAGCTCAGGTGCACGGCATCGGCCTTTGGGAATGCCACTGATGCCTTCCAGGGAAAGGACACAGGCCTAATCGTTCTCGGACAGGGCTTATGCTCGCGTTAATACTCGTTGCGTTCCTTGATTTCGCTCAGTAACCCGACGTCATGCCCGTCGCTATCACCCTTCATTTGCTCTTTAAATGGTAAAGAACTCCAGTATTCGTATCACTATCAGCGTCAGTAATCATCTAATGCCATCGACAGATTCAGACAGCCAAGCCACCCTCCCCTTACAACCAAGTAACTTCCCCTACTTACGTAGCCCACCCCCACCACCATCGCGCGGCATCAGCTGCAAGATCTTTCCACCGCGAACCTTCTCCCCATCCTACCCGACCGGACCAGACTGGGAGATGAAGATGAAGGTTCTGCCGTATACGTAGAAGGTCAAGGTTCATTTTCGAATCATCATTTCGAACCCATCGTTTTTCATCATCCCGTCATCTCCTCGCATCTCCCCGCATGCCCCTATCCCCCCCTCCCCTATTCCGCAACCGAGCACACATCCACCCTCATCGCACCCGACCGGCACCTCTCCTCCCTTCATCCGATCAAGCACAGTCACCGCCTCGACTCGTCGATTTTGTGTGCTCGCATCCACTCAGCGACTCAGCATTTCAAGCCACCGATGTAGGCGCGCCTCCGTGACTTGGGGGGGAGTCTTCTCCCCTCCCTCCTACCCTCAACCCAAATCCCCAACACACGGCCTTTCATAAAGCACAATAACCAGGAAATAAAAAGAAAACAACATCCCCAAACACCCTCAAGCGCAACCACCCCACTCCAACCATCCACACAAAAACCCCCCACCACGACTCTCAGCGTCGACGAAACCGGCGAGGACACAAGACGAGCCTTACCCACATAGGCCCATACCACCCACTATGATCAGTCCGCAACCGAGACGACAGCAAAGAGCAACGAGCCGATAAGATACGACAAGACCAAAAGGTAAAGCCACGAAGCCATAGCCACCATCCTGCATACATGATATGATCGTAAGTGATCGAGATCATGATCATGATCACCTTGAAGCAATATAAGACATCCAATTATTCAATAGAAACTCAAATGTCAATCTCCGAATCCTCTCATCTTGAAAGTCGTCCCGTCCATGTACACATCACGCATGAGTATTGCACTAATCAACGCTCGGTTCATGATACAAGCCTCTACACCCAAGTCTGAGTATCGAATCTACGTGCTGTGTTTCCAAAACCCAAAAGCTGTGTTCGCAGATATCGGCACCGACTCGGACACCGGCACCGGCACCGATACCGATGTTGATGTCAACACTGGTATGAGCACAGACACTACGCATACACTACCATCTCTCACCCAACTAAACCGCATAAGCGCCTCTGTTCCACAGCGGAATCTGGTTCGCATAGGCTACGTCGCCAAGAGGCGGTTGTTGGACCTAAAATGTGCAATGCAAGTATGAGCAAATAGTAAGCAAGCAAGAGTGAGTGAGTGAGTGAGAATGACAACGCCCATCCATCAGCATCCAACACCCCTCGATCACACAAAACAAAATAAGAAAAACCACGCACATTGGGATTATAACCCTGAACGACCTGTCCAAACTCTTGCCGCTCAGCCATCTGATCCATGCCCTGCCCCACGAACGGGTACGGCGGCGCCTGTGCCTGGGGTTGTGCGGCGTAGGTGTAGAGCGGGGGGAGCTGTGGGGGTCCTTGGTCTTGCGAGGGAGGAGGCGGAGGGAAGGAGGAGGAGGAGACGGGGAGGAGGAGGGGTCTGAGTGTGGGGGTGCGGGTACGGCGGCGGATGGCGGTGAGGAGGGTGAGTATGAGGAAGATGACAACGGAGACTGCGTGGGTAGTGGCACGGATAAGAAATTGGTACGGGTGCGAAGAGGGAAGGAACGTACCGATTCCAACTATACAAGCGATAGCAAGACCGACGTTTGTGTTCAGCCAATGGCACATGTCGGTGCCGAAGCTTGAGGATGGTCAGACCGAGCGAAAAAGGGGATGATCATGAAGGAGAGACGTACAAGTGAGTGTGACAAGTCAAATCACGAGTAGCCAAAGCAGAATGCACTGCAAATATCCTGAGCACATACACCCATGCCAACACCCCTCGCACTCACTGATATCGGATATTAGCTCGAGTGTTGTAATCAGATTATCTCGTGAAGTCAAGGGCGGTCGTCAATAATACGCACAGCGTCAGAAATAAAGGATATATGATAAATAATAAAAAAGAGAGGAAAAGAGAGGTAGGAAGGTGAAGGTGAATACCGCACAGCAGCACTGAGCATCGATCAGAGAACGCGCACTTCCTATAGCCTAGCACGCTATTGTGTTCTGTTTGGTTGTGCAGGGACGGAGACACGTGGATATCAAATGACATCATGGATGGGTCTCTTAAACGAGATGTGAGATTGAGACGGTTGTCATCCACCAACCTCCGCTTCTTCTTCTTATCTTCCATGTTTCTCCGTCCTTTTATATACCTCGCTCTTTTCCCACCTCTCCTTGAAATGCACCTCCTCCCAGCCAATCTCCACCGCCGTCACTCCCCGTCTCGCTCCCCAGCTCCCTCTCGTACCGGCATCAACAACACATTCCCCCGCTCACACCCAAGCACAGCCATCTCCACCCTCACCGCAGGTGCCATCTCCTCAGCATCGCTACCACACCACAACACCAGCAGCGTCCACACCCACGCCAACGGCAGCAGCACCAGCGGCACGAAAATCACGCATAGCGGGGGCACAGTCCTCCAGCGCCTCGCCTCCCTCTTCCACCCCCGCAAAAAGCGCGCTCCGTCCCCCCTCCCTCCCAGCTCCCGCTCCCACTCCCCCGCCTCCACCGCCTCCTCCGATATCCGCAGACCAAGCGGGCTAGGACACAGAGCATCCTCTCTCGAGTCGACCCTCTCTTTCACTCCCCACGAACACGGACACGGATGCGAAGGACAAGGGCAGGGTGGACGTGGAGGTGGACGCGCATGTGAGCTTGGGAAGGGAGCTGTGTCCTAGGGAGGTCGGGAAACGTACCCAATAATATAAATCACCCCGTTTCATCATCCCATCTCAGCCGAACCAAGCGGCCCCGCTCCGACTTGAAGCACACTTGCTGTCACGATCGTACCCATCTGACTCAGCTTTCTTATCTAATCGAGAGATAGAGACTCTTGTTTCACCTTATCTAATCTCTCTCTGATCTAATCTTATCAAGTATCACATGATCTATTAGTAATACACATTACCAATCAGCCTCACTACATACACATGTTAGTTACCAATACGCTACGTCATACCACCCCGTAGCCTCATGTTCTTTCCTATATAACTAGCACGATATCCATGTACATACCCCAGTTGTAGATTTACTCTTTTATACTTGCTTGTCTGCACTTGTTGAGATTTAAGTCCTACGCTGCTCGGGTCACCGGCATACAGCTAGGGTCTTTACACAATCTACAACTTGAAACGACACCTGTTGATGAGCAAAATCATAGCTATCCTTATCATCACCCTATTCCCCCTCATTGCACTCATACTCTTTGGTATTGCCAAAATCTACGTTCACCTCACAAAACTATCATCACTACACCTATCACCCGACCCGACACCATCATATCATTTTTTCCTGCCAACGTCTCACCCACAGAGTCGTTTGTTAACATCCCCCTCACTCCCCCTTCCAACCCAGTAGCTAGAACCCTTGACGGCGTGGAGCCCGATAGGTATTACTTAGTTTAAAGTAGCTTCCGTACGCTTCTGACCAGGCCGCTCATTTGAGTCCGCCAGTCGGAAAAGACCTGCACGCGGTTACTCGCTGGGTACCTCTGAGACAACCGTTCGGACCTCAGATACTATACAATTAGAACACCGATATCTCAGATTAGATTAGTTACGTATATAGTCAGTGCGGGACAGAAGAGGAACCGCTTGACTCAAAAGAGAAACGATAGTCTGGTTGAACTTATTCGAGAAAGTGTTGATCCGATTTATCATCGGGGAACTCTCGTATATGCAACCTGGTGATTTCGAAGAGTGGTTAGCAGAGCAACGCTTCCATTCCGAGAACAGAATAGCCTGGGAAATCTACTTTACATTCCCAGAGATAGAACCGATTAGAACCCGTTACCACACCCCTTACCCAGAACATGACGACGGCCGCATTCGGAGAGTGGCGAGGTCCGCGCGAAGAGCGGGACACACCAGAAATGGGGATGGGAGAATTGTCGGACGCGCTCCCGCCGCTAGAACCCCAACCCCCGACATCGCAGGAAGCTGGACTGGAACAGTATGTTCAGACCAGGATAGAACAGGAGCAGAGGAGGCTCCACGATTTATACGAAACGCAGCTGAGAGAGGCCAAAGAAGAAGTAGACGAATTGCTAGCCAAGCTGAGGTTAGCTACATCGAGTTCTTCTACGTCCGCTCAAGACGCATCCGCACCGCTGCCGCCCGCTACGCAGCCGAAACGCGTAGACAGAACCAGAACGGCTCTCCAGAAGCCTGAGAACTTTGATGGAGACCGAAAAAAGTATAAGGCTTTCCGCGAAGCCTTGATGCTTAATTTTGAAGATGACGAAGAGTATTTCGCGGATGAAAGAAGAAAGATCGCTTATGTGCTTTCTTTCATGACAGGAGGAGCAGCGGCAGCATTTAGAACAGAGTGGATGGAAACGAAGATGGAGAAAAGGATGCGAGGAGAAAGCATCAAAATCACTTACGAAAATTTTGAGTGGTTCGCTACAAAAATGGAGACTCGATTCAAAAATGTTCACGAGCAACTCGCCGCACGCAACGACATTATGATCTTGCGACAAGGAAAGAACACGGCCGAGAAACACTTTGAACATTTTGAAGAACTGAGAAGGGAGGCTAGTTACCTCCAAGCAGCCAATGAGGATTTCCTCATTTCACTCTTACGTAGGAATATGAATGAACCCCTGGTCAATCAGGTAATATACGGCGGCCGAGAGCCGACCAACTACGAAGAGTGGAAGAAGGAACTGATCCGCATAGACTACTTGTGGCGTCATAGAGAGGCGGAGAAAGAGAGCTTCAGGAGTACGGAGAGAAAGAAGCAAGACGGAGGAGGAAAGACGACCGAACCAAAGGTCGAGAGAAAGAAGGATGCAACCGGGTACCTATATACCCAATCCGGTGACCCCATGAAGGTCGACAAAGCAGAGTACCGACAGAAGGGACTTTGCTACCGGTGCGGTGAAAAGGGACATCGGTCCTTCGAATGCAAGAAAGAGGCACAAGCAAAGCCTCAGTTTAACGTGAGAGAATTCCTGCAGAAGATGACTGCAGAAAAAAGAGCAAAAGTCCTCCAGGGTTTTTGAAGAGGCCAGCGGTAACACATCAACCGGCTGCGCCTAAGGACAAAAGTTAAATCCTATATTTAACCTATTAATTTTTAGATTAATCATACTTTATCTCGTTTAATTTTATTGAAGATATACTAGCTAATAAAGATAAAGATCCTACTAACATTGCTGTATATGTAAAATAGTTTCTCCTCTCTTTCGATCGAAGATTCTTGTCTGCCGTCCACCACGAGTTGTATTAGTACAGATCATGAAAATGATATTGCATTGGCCAAAGACGCAGCAGATCTGAGATTAAAAGAGAAAGAAACAAAAAGAGATGTGAACCTGAACAGGGAACGGGTTAGAAAGATCCCTAAAACTTCAGAAACAACAGAACCACAGAAAGCAGTGACTCAATTGGGAAGCACTGATGTAACTGATAGTTCGACCAGTTCTGAAAAGATCACGGCGCGCTCGAAAGAGAAAAGCGCAGTAAAAGAATTTGTGAAGGAAGTGACTCAATCGGGTAGCACTTCATTGGAAACAACAGAACCACAGAAAGCAGTGACTCAATTGGGAAGCACTGATGTAACTGATGGTTCGACCAGTTCCAAAGAGGTCAGGAACACCTCTAATAAAAACCTAGACCACAAAGAGAGACAAAGACTGACAGCGGCATGGACGCCACTTTGGGTTGCAGAAAGATTACGAGACCAAAAGGAAGAAAGATCCATTGGTATTCTCAATATCTGGACGCACCAAAAAAGAAGTAGAGAAGTCACAATAGAGACAATACGAGAGCTGAATGCATTAACACTGCACGAAGCAGAACTTGCTCTATTAGAGTTACACACCCCGAAAAAGTACATTAGGGGAACGCAAGGAAACCAGATGAACATTTCTTGCAGACTAACAACTCTTGACACGAATCGATCAACGACGATCGAAGCTCTCCTAGATAGTGGATGTACGGGGAGCTGTATAGACTCTACGTTCGTAAAAGAACAAAAATATGAAACAAAGAAGATACCGAGACCAATCCCAGTATACAACGCTGATGGCACGCTTAACAAAGACGGTGCTATCAAAGAATTTATAGAACTGCGGATGAGCATAGGAGACCACGAAGAAAACATTCACTTCGCTGTAACAAGCTTAGGGAGTGGACGCATGTTCCTCGGACATGAGTGGTTAACGAAGCACAATCCCACTATAGACTGGAAAAAGTCGGAGTTGAACTTTGATAGATGCCCGAAAGAATGTAAACGACAGGTTGACTTCCTTGATCCGGAAGAAGACCCTGACACATACTTTTCGGAAGTAGATCGCTCAGATGGGGATCAGCTGATCCAAGTGAATCTAATGAACTATGAAGATACTTCTATTGACGATCATTACTACCACATTAGGGCACAAGGCACAACAGCTCAGAAGCTAGCCGAAGCCGCTGGTAAAGATCAGAAAGAAGGAGGATTCGAAAAGATAGTTCCCAAATATCTCCACGATTACAAAGACGTATTCGATAAGGAGTCATTCGATGCACTGCCAGAGAGACGCCAATGGGATCATGCCATAGAACTCATCCCAGGCGACCACACTCTGGACTGCAAATGTTATCCATTAGCTTTAGGAGAACAAGAACAATTAGATGCGTTCATAAACGAAAACCTCGAATCAGGAAGAATCAGACCTTCCAAATCACAATTCGCATCACCGTTCTTCTTCATCAAAAAGAAAGATGGAAAACTGAGACCTGTCCAAGACTACCGGAAATTGAATGATATCACCATCAAGAATAGATACCCGCTACCCCTGATAAATGAACTTGTAGACAAGCTCAGGGGCGCGAAATACTTTACGAAGTTAGATATCAGATGGGGATACAACAATATCCGTATTAAGGATGGAGATGAACACAAAGCAGCCTTCAGAACGAATAGGGGGCTCTTTGAACCATTAGTGATGTTCTTTGGACTCACGAATTCACCAGCCACATTTCAAACGATGATGAATGCGCTGTTTAAAGATTTGATTGATGATGGAAAGGTAGTAATATACCTCGACGACATCATGATTTTCACAAGAACGATTGAAGAACACCGCGCAATGACGCGCAGAGTGTTAGACATCTTAAGGAAGAATAACCTTTACTTGAAACCCGAAAAATGCGATTTCGAAGAGACCTCGACAGAGTACTTAGGTCTCATCATTTCAGAAAATGAAATCCGCATGGATCCAGTTAAAGTAAAAGGAATTATGGAATGGCCAGAATGCAAATCCAAAAAGGAAGTACAAGCATTCTTGGGTTTCGTAAACTTCTATAGAAGATTCATCGAAGGCTTTGGGTTGATCGCCAAGCCGTTAACAAAATTGACCGGGAAAGTAGAGTTCGTGTGGGAACAGGAACAGATCGACGCCTTTAACGGATTAAAAACCCGTGTCGGATCGACTCCTGTACTCGCCTTACCTACCGATGACGGACAATTTAAAATAGAAGCTGATAGCAGTGATTACGCGATGGGAGCAGTTCTATCACAGATGCAAGATGGGAAATGGAAACCTATTGCATATCTCTCAAAAGCGCTAAACCCCACAGAGCGCAACTATGAGATCTATGATAAAGAACTTCTGGCCATAATGACTGCGTTAGACGAGTGGAGACATTATCTTGTTGATGCAAAAGAGGTGTTTGAGATCTGGACAGAC